CTCTCATATAGAGCAAAAGAAGATGACCAAGCTGTTCGCTCGCTCTATCTATCTATCTATCTATCTATCTATCTATCTATCTATCTATCTATCTATCTACCTACCTACCTACCTACCTACCTACCTACCTACCTATCTACCTACCTATCTAGTTAGTTATTTGGTTTTTCGAGACAGGGTTTCTCTGTAGTTTGGAATCTTTCTGGAACTCCCTCTGTAGATCAGGCTGGCCTCGAACTCACTGAGATCAGCCTGCTTCTGCCTCCCAAGTGCTGAGATTAAAAGCATATGCCACCACTATCCAGCCAAGATGTTTTAGTAAGGGAAAATAGAAAATACTTCCATCATAATGAACACATATACACACAAACTCTCCATGAGTACATGATACTTGTAAATACATGGAGAAAGGCTCAGAAGGCCAAATGAGCACATAATCCAGATTACATGGGCCTGTTCCCTGTAAACCTTCCTTAAGAATGAGCCACTATTATAATTTTAAAGTAAAATTCACCTGTGTTCTCTGTTCTTAAATTTATTTAGGGTGTCTGAGACTCTTTCGCTTTTTCTTTTAGAAAGACAAATTCATGAGAGCTGTGTGTGTGTGTGTGTGTCTGTCTGTCTGTCTGTCTGTGTGTGTGTACATAAATCACTGGTCAATTTTTATACCTATAATCCCAGCACTTGGGAGGTAGAGGCAGGAGGATGAAGAATTCAAGGCCAGTTTCAGCTATCTAGAAAGCTGGGGGTAAGGCTGGGTACATGAGACCCTGTCTAGAAATTTCAATAGGAAAGAAAAAGAGACTGTCTCTTTCTCATCTCATCGTTTATGAACTGAGCATTGCCCTGGAAGTTTGCTGTGTAATCTAAAGAGCACACTATTCTCCACATTTCCCATGCCAGCATGTGACTGATGGCAACAATAGGACCCACAGGCAAATCTACTACACACTATGGGGTGGGAATTATCGCCCTAAAATCTGGGACTAAGACACTGTAACCTAAAGAAGTTAAATCACCTGCTGCAGGTCAGCAGTGAGGGAGTTGGAAGAGACCTCAAGCAGTCAAACAGTAGACTTCAGTCTTCTCTCTCACGCTCAAGCGCATGCACACACAAGCACACATGCCTCATTAGATGGTTTACGTAGGTCATTTCCTGTTACTGACTCTGAGGCCATGGTAATTACCAAATGATGTGAACTTACCACATGATGAAAAATATTTAATGGCCCTCAAGAGAAGAACAGAGCCTTAGTCATTGGAGTACCTGCTGGGGTAACTAGTAATATACATATATCCATTCTGTAATAGGGCATGATCCTTTTCCTCATGAACTCAATAGGTCAAGCTGTTCTATGCAGTCTGTATAAACAAGCTGATCTGGACAATGGAGGTCTGGGTTCTGGGCACCCATTTGGCATCTGTTGCCATTTGGCACACAGAATAGCTCTTATCTGCATGTACCAGGGAGTGAAAGAGGAGGCTAGAGGAAAATACCTTTCCCTGCTAGAAAGATATTCATAAGAACAGGCTGGGAAGGAGCACATGTCCCCAGATGCCTGATACCTTAATAGAAACATGCCAACACAGAAGCAGGACCTGACTTGGCTGTGCAGGACATAAGAGGCCAGATGTGGCTGGAAGGAAAAGGACGGAGACAACTACATACTGACCTCAGTCAGATGTGAGACCTCACCTCCACCTTTCTTTCCCTCTCATTCCCTCACACCCTCCTCACTTTTTCCCTCCCTGGGGCAAGGTCTTGGAATGTACAGGTTAGCTTGATTTACCCCAGGGAGCTTGGGCTGATTTGGAACCAAGGAACCTCCAGCCTCAGCCTTTCAAGTGCTGAGATTATAGGTATCAGACACTTTAGGTATCACCCAGCTTTTCCTGGTTCTTGTTACTACTCTGAGTCCCTCCGGCCTTTGTCTGGCCTCTCAACAGGGAAGCCATCTTGTTCCTACCAGATTCCTTCACCAGTTATGCACATCCGGCTACAAACCACATGGTATTTTCTCTGGCTACCTTTGGTGTGCTCATTTATTCACTCATTCATTTAACAAATATTTTTATTTTTTAAAGTTTTAGTTATGTATTTTATGTGCATTGTTGTTTTGCCTGCATGTATGTCTATGTGAGGATATCAGATTCCCTGGAACTGAAGTTACTGACAGTTGTGAGCTGCCATGTGGGTGCTGGGAAGAGCAGTATTGCTATTAATCACTGAGCAATCTCTCCAGTTCAACAAATACTTTTCTAAACACTGTTCTGTGCCTCTCACTGACTTGGTAGTTGGCGACCTACAAGGGAAGAAGTAGATCCCTACCTTCAAGAAGTTCATGGTCCAACAAGAGAGAGACAGCATGGTAGGGGAAGGAAAGGGAGGCCACGGAAGAGCTAGCTAAGAGACAGTGAGGTGGCTCAGCAGCTTAAAGTGCTTATGTTTGTCACTTCACATATCTACCACACACGCCTACATACACTCACAGACAACAATACATAGGCCTGGAGTGGTGGTGCTCACCTTTAATCCCACCCAGCACTCAGAGGCAGAGGCAGGCGGATCTCTAAATTTGAGGCCAGCCTGATCTACAGCAAGAGTTCCAGGACAGCTAGGGCTAAACAGAGAAACTCTGTTTCAAAAAAAACAAAAGAGAGAGAGAGAGAAATAGAAATAGTGTCTTTAGAAGGTAGGTAAGAAGCCAGCGATGGTGGCGCACGCCTTTAATCCCAGCACTCGGGAGGCAGAGGCAGGCGGATCTCTGTGAGTTCGAGACCAGCCTGGTCTACAGAGCTAGTTCCAGGACAGGCTCCAAAGCCACAGAGAAACCCTGTCTTGAAAAAACAAACAAACAGGCTGGAGAGATGGCTCAGTGGTTAAGAGCATTGCCTGCTCTTCCAAAGGTCCTGAGTTCAATTCCCAGCAACCACATGGTGGCTCACAACCATCTGTAATGAGGTCTGGTACCCTCTTCTGGCTAGCTGTATACAAAATAAATAAATAAATAAATATTAAAAAACAAACAAAAAAGAATTAAAAAAAAACCTTTAAAGGTAAGAAATGACGCCAAGAACTTGGTTGCTCTCTGCAGTTCAGCCACCAATATACATCATCCTACTGTCTTTGGTTTCTCTTGCTTTTGATGGCACCTGAGGAGTGCAGACCGTCTCCCAGTATTAAGAAGCCTCCTATCATAGAGGCAGCATCCCATAGATGCCTCATAAGCACTGCCAATTCCACTTCTTGAGCAAAACTAGAGAGTCAAGACTGAGGAATATTTCTTTGGAGTTCACCAACCTCCCTAGAGGCCGAAGCAGGTCCAAGATCATCACATGCAAGCCCTGGGATATATGCAAAAGGACGGAGTTCTGGCAAGCAGAAGGGTTATTTTAGACACTACACTGAATCCTATAGGTTTCTGCCCTTGTAGGACATGGGTAGAGATGCTGCTCATTTACCACCAGAAACCACCACTAGGGCTGAGACCTCTCTTGCTGTTCATATACCAAAGGTGGGTGGGTTGGATGTAAATTCTCCACGACATCCACACAGGAAACACCAGTTCCAGCAACTCACTAGCAAAAGCTTAAACTCCTGCCCAAACTGCTAATCCTGGAGACAATAGCTCCCTGAGCCTATCCTCTGATACCATTAGTCTTTCCAAACAGCTCTGCCTCCAACCCATTCAGGGGATACCTGCCTATGCCAATGGCACTAAAATGATCAACAGTACAACTGATTCTTTTAAGACTTCAACTATGAGGGTAGAGTCTAACATAAAAGAACATGGCAGACTGAATAAGGGAACTTTAGGAAGGATATAGATGATTTCACAAAGACTTTCCAGACCTCCAAGAAAGGTAGCTAAAAGTACAAGCCTCTGAATTTGTTTTTCATATTGAACCAAGATCTTTAGGAGTGAGACTTAGGAATCCTTTTACTAATTAAACAATGGAGGCTTGGGGTTAGAGAGATGGCTCAGTGGTTAAAAGCACTGGCTGCTCTTCATTGAACCTGAGTTCAGTCTCCAGCACCCACATGAAAGCTCACAACTATCTGTGACTCCAATTCCAGGGAATCCAACATCCTCTCACCATATCCATATATATATATGCAGGAAAAAACACGAATGTACATTAAAGAAAAATTCTCGCTGGGTGATGGTGGCACAGACCTTTAATCCCAGCACTTGGGAGGGAGGCAGAGGCAGGCGGATCTCTGGGAGTTCGAGGCCAGCCTGGTCTACAAGAGCTAGTGCCAGGACAGGCTCCAAAGCTATAGAGAAACCCTGTCTCGAAAAACAAAAACAAAAAAATTCTTTTAGAGCAAAACAAAACCAAAGGCTAGGGATGTAGCTCAGTTGTTAAAATGCTTGCTGAACATCCGGGAAGGCCTGAATTCTATCTGCAGCACTGCATAAATCAGGAGTGGTGAAAACACAGGAGGTGGAGGCATGAGGATCAGAAGACCAAGGTCACTGTTGGCTACACAGTAACTCTGAAGCCAGCCTGGGCTATATAAGACACTGCTGTTCGTTCTATTGTTCACCCAACAGCCAATCCATCTCCCTGCCTTTGCTTCTGCTGTCCTCAAATCACAGGACTGCTTCCCCTTGACCTCCTCACCACACTTCACTTGATGTGCCTACTGACAGTGCCAACAAGCCACAGTTTTAAGAGCGGGGTGCCTCTGAAGTTACGCCTTACCTGGATTTGTTTCTTGACTCCACTGACCCCGAGTGCAGAGCCTCAGTCTCTCATTTGTAAACTATGGATAGCAGTTGTTCTAGATTTGTTGTAAGGATTCAGTGGAGCAGCACTCAGTGTGGTACCCAATACATGCACAACAGATTCAGTTTTACACTGTTCACTTCCCCATCCCTTCTACCCTATGACAGAGGAGCTCTCCCCACTGCATATTCAAAACTAGAAGATGGGAACAGGGTCTCAGCTGACTCAAAAAGAACCCCTGACCTTGTGCTATCCTCAACTCTTACCTGCCCAACGTTGAAGGTCAGCGTGATGGCATAAAAGAAATTGGAGTTGGCACTTCCTGCATAAATCCAGAGATGCCACAGGACAGGGAAGAGAAGAGAGCAGACGATGATGATGCAGGTAAGGACGAAGATGTTCCGTAGGACTGCAAAGACAGATGGCCATTAGCCCATCACTCCTTCTCCGACAGCCACACAGGACAGGGAGCAGCTCACACGGCAAAAAGGCAGCGCACGCCCAGAGATACCGTGTTCGGAGGCAAACCTCCGACCCAGGTCAATGGCTCCCATGCCCATCACCACTGGAAATCTCTATTTGGAGACTTTCTTTCACCTGCAGGCTTGTCTGCCTAAAAACTAGTCACAGTCAGCATTCCCGTGAGTGCTTCCAGGCATAACAGTGAGGCCATTTCATGAAGGCTCTGCTCTTTACTCTCCAACCTCACCACTTGGGTTACTACACGGCCATGAGGTCTCATGGATGAGAACGGGGCAGAACCGGCATGATTAGAGTTCCAAGTGGATCTGCATGGGACCATGGCCCACACGGTAAAAACGCACTGGCTCATGTGCTTGTATTGCTCTTTAAATGACCCTTACTCTTCCTCAGATGACTTACAAATCTCTCTTCCCATCCTCCCAAACCAAGGTCTCACGTAGCACAGGCTGGCCTCAAACTAGCTAAAGATGACTTTGAACCCCTGATACTCCTGCTTCTACCTCCCAAATGTTGGGTGCATACCACAACAGGCCACATTTTTAAATTAACTTATTTTCTTTTATGCATATAAGCATTTTGTGTTGTTCCTACTTCTTCACTGGTTCAGACTCAGTTTTCTTTTCTTTTCCTTTCTTTCTTTCTTTCTTTCTTTCTTTCTTTTTTTCTCTGTTTTTAAAGATAAGGTCTCACTATATAGCCCTGGATGGCCTGTCTCTGACTGAAATCATAGAACTAGGAACTACTTGGACAATCAGGCTCCTCAAGTTTTATCCTGGCTGGGGTTGTACCAGGGATCTGCCTGCCTCTACCTTTCAAGTGTTGGAATTAATGGTGTGTGCCATCATGCCCAGAAAATTGGGGATTTACAAAATGAAGACAATCCAGGTCATGTATCTCAGTTCTACAACCACTGCACAGAAACACTATACATTGTCTAGAAGCTCATACATTGAAAGGGGACTGGATAACATAATTTTATGCTCTAGCTGCAAATAACAGGAGTGTCCCACCAAGATCAAATCGGAGTCCTAGGGTACAGCCCAGGCAATGGTTTTGTAAGTCTCCTGGGTAACAGTCTGCCATAGAATCACCACTAATATGTGGACAAACAGGACAAAGTAGTTTGAATTTATTTTTAAAGCTAAGTGTTTGCTTGGTTGATTTTGTTTTTTGAAACAGAAACTCATATAGCCAGGCTGGCCGTCAACTTGATATGTAGCCTAGGATAAGACAGTCTTAAACTCCTGCTCCTTCTGCCTCCACCTTCCAAATATATATCATCATGCCCAGCTATAGTTCACTCTTTATAAAGAAGGGTCAGAAACTTCTTTTGCTATTATTAGTATTTAAAAAGTCATTTTAGCTGGGTGTGGTGGTCACCCCTTTAATCTAGCACTCAGGAGGCAGAGGCAGCCTGGTCTACACAGTGAGTTCTGGGACAACTAGAGCTACACAGAGAGACCCAGTCTTGAATCAACACAAGTCATTTAAAATGGAGACAAATATTGATAGTTGATTGTTTCATGAACCACCAAATAAAAAGTTTTAGAAATCATTTTTCAAACGTTAGTGGTCTAGGAAATCCCATAATTTGGACACTAGCCTGGAGGCCTGAACAATTGCCTTTTCCAGTCTGGAATTTCCATAGTCCAAATGGTCAACACCAACAAGCCAAAGCCTGATTCAGGTCTCCTGAAACCTGCCAGGGAAGCTTGTGACTCTTCCTCAGGGAAAGCAATGTTTATCCTACACATTATTATATTGTTATCATGAGGCAGCATTAGAGACTGAAGACAGGAGAACGGATCTGCTTACTCCTCCACTCTGCGATTCTAAATTTCAGTTCGCAGTGGTTCTTTCTCATCCTCTATAAATACCTTGACTGACAAGCACATGTATTATTTCTAGAATAAAACTTGTAGGGCCTGGTAGACCAAGTGGTTCTTGGCACTGTGACCCAGTCAGAGATAGAGGCTCCAATGGGGTGACAGAAAAGAGACTGGGTACAAAAATGAAAGAGGTTATGAATGCAGCCTCTGAGCTGCAAAGACTTCTCAATGTGCTTGGAAGACCTTCGCTAGCGTCCAGTTGGATTGAGGCCAGTGGTGACCTTTGCAGGAACAGGGAACTGCTACTGACTCTTGCTGGCTGGAAAGCTGGGAGATTAAAGCTTATGCCAGAGCAGATGGAACTGTGGACCTGGGGCACAGGACAGCTTGTTCCAGGCACCCAGAGGTGTCAGAGATGACCAAGGCCTACACCTTTCATCAGACCTGGTAGGTCAGATGGAGTCAAGTTCCTCAGACATTCACGGGGCTGTTTATCCAATCTGTGGCACCACACTGAAGAACAGGAACTTCTGACAAGGCCCTTTCCCCCTTGAGCCTCAGACAATCAGAAATAAAATGTCACTTAAAGTATCTGGTCTCATTAGGAGGGTCATAGAGGGAATCAGGGGTTTCAAAGGTCAAAGAGATTTTTTTTCTTAAATTACATCCTAGATAAATGAGAACTTACAGCACAATGCTTATGATTTATTTGTATATTAATCAACATTCTTTTACCTTTATACAATAATTAATTTAAAAAAAACAAGAAGAAATACAGCACACATTCAACTCCAGCCCTGTAGTAGCTGGCTTTGCATCTGGACCACTGCAGGCTGGCACCAGCTCTGCCAGCAGGCTGTTCTCTAACACCACAAGTATGCATCCCCATGACTCATCCTAACCCAAGGCTACAGAAGCGAGTGACTGAGGTTTATTTATTTATTTGTTGCTGTTGTTTGTTTTTATCAACACAGAGTTTCTCTGTGTAGCCCTGGCTGATCTGGAACTCTGAGATCCACCTGCCTCTGCCTCCCAAGTCCTAGAATTAAAGGCATGTGCCACCACCACCTGGTGTGATCGAGAGTTATACCTGGGGCACTGGCCAATACAAGAAATGAGGTGAGGTAGGATCAGGGAGATCAGCTAGTGTTTCAATGGGACCCTATAACATTACCTATATTTGACTAGGACAAAAGACTTCACAAAACCTGAATAGACAAAGTCTACTCAGAGGTCCCAAAGCCCAGAAGACACTCATAAGTGAGTATAATAACTCATAGATGACAAGCCCCAAACAGGTGCTCCAAACATGAGCAGTCCCTATACAGGGCAAAACTGACAGCTACTACTCTGAACAGGAACTTCGGATAAGCTGTGTCTCTAAACTCCTTGCCCAACCAATTAGCAACAGCCTCTACTTAAGAGTCAATTAGATCATCCAGGTTTCTGGAAACTCCCTCCTCCTTCTCTGCCTTATCATCCCTGTGGGCATAAAACAATTTATTTCAAGTATTAAAATATATATATTTATTTCAATGTCTCTGGCGTCTAAGTCTGAAGCTTTGACGGTGAGAATGTGTAGGGCAGCCCTGGCTAATTATCACTGATAACTCATTATATTAAAATGTTTCCTTCCCAGACTTAAATACCCATGAAAGATACTCTTTGAGAGAGAGAAAGAGGGGTCTCCTACGTAGCCTGGAATTCCCTTATATAGTTCTGGCTAAACTCAAACTTTCTATCCTCCTGCCTCAGCCTTTGAAGTGTTGGGGTTAAGGACCCACACCAGGATGCTCTCTTCAGCTGAGGGTTGGAAAAGGAAAAGTCAGAGGCTCAGAAAGGCTGAAACAGCTGCCTGGGAAGTCGGGACACAGACTCAAGTTCTAGTCAGTCGACAGACCGAGTTCAGCAATGTGAGATTGCTGCATAACACCTCTGAGAAGGGACCGGTATTCTGTGCAGGGTCGAGGGCAAGGCCAACAACATGCTTCAGAGAGGGAAAGACTCGTGTCTGAAGCCCTGCCCTCCCACAGACCAAGGCATGCCCATATACTCTGATTGCCTCATGATTCATCCCTGGGTGATTCTCGTCTGTGAAACGAGGATGTCATGAGCGGATGATGCTGCCTCCTCTCAGCTCAAGCTGGTCACCACGCCACCAGGCCCAAGAGTCACACCTGGCCTGGGCTGGCCCTGCCCACTTAGCTGTTTACCTTTACACTGGGGCCTACACTTTCAGGTAGGTTTCCTGCCTGCAGCTGGTCAGTTTCACTTCCTGCTTGACACCCAGACAACCCCAAAACAACAACAAAACTAGCTTGCACTTGGAGTTCATTTCTGACACTTGGCTGTGTATCACAACTCCCCTCCCTTTGGAAGACAGAGAACCGGTAGGGTAACTGGGATCTGCTTCCTTCAAGGACAGCCGTCAAAGCCCTTCCTGACAGTTTTGTGCCAGAGCCCATGGCAGATGACAGAAACACTAAGGCAAAGAATACCAGCCCCGAGGGAGCCTCCAGACCCTGAAAAGAACTACCAAGGGAGGGGGGGAGTAAGGGCCCAAACGACAGAAAGACTGGAACACTTCTGAGATGGGTAGAACTGAGAAGGGTCTTCGTAGGAAGGAGGAAGACAGGTGTTCAAAACCTGAGGCTACAGCTGCACTTGTCCAGTAGGAAACTTGGCCATTGTCCAATAGGAAGACTGGCCATATGTGGCGCCCTACATTTGAATTTAAATGAAAATGTTGGTTTCTGCTGGCACCACGACTCACTCTGTAATCTCAGTATTCAGGAAGCTAAAACAGGATGACTGCTTCTAACCTGAGCACAGCCTAGGCTACACAGTGAGTTTCAGTCTAGCCAGGGCTACAGTCTAGGCTGTGTCTCAAACAACAAAGAACAAAATCTGTGCATGGAAGGTTACCCCTGGAATCCCAGATCTGAGGGAAAGGCAGGAGGACCAAGGGCATCTTCAGCTACACAGTGCGCTCAAGGCCAGTTTGGGTTATGTGAGACCTATTTCAGAAAGCTGGGAGTAGGGAGAAAACAAAAAAATTAGTCTCTGTATATTAGTAGCCACTCTATCGGAATACGCCCTGGACATGGTCATCAATACAGAAATCAAGGCGAGGTTCCCAGAGCTAGGCGTCAATCCTAATCTTCCACAGCAGTCACAGAACCTTGAACAAGTGGCTCTGCCTTTCTGCACCTCAGTTTTCTCATCTGTATAAAAGAGATTCTTACCTCAAAGCCTGAGGCAGAGACCAAATGAGCTAATGATTGACAATGGCCAGGTGCAGACAAGTGCTCTATAGATGGTAGTTATCTGTCTTTTCATCACTCTCTCAGCACCAGGGGGCACAGGGGCACAGCACACATACTGCCTCTCTTTCTCAGGGCTGCCAGCACAGCAGGCACCCAGTAAATGCTCATCAGCTCCCTCCTCCCAGCTGCTTTGCCCAAGAGTTAGATGGACTGGAAGGCACCCCACGAAGAGAGTCAAACTACTCACATCTGTAAAGATGGTTCCACACAGGGAAGAAAGCCATGTAGAGGGCCACATCTCCCACAGTTGGGTAGGACTTGAAGATAGAGATGATGGCAATCTGGATGAACATGAAGAAGATGGGGTGCTCCCTGGAGCAGGGCAGGGAAGACAAACATGCAGAAAGATTAGCCAGGGACCAGTCCAACTCTTATAGACTCCTGACCCCATTCTACAAACCAAAAGTACTCCCTAGGGGAACTCAGGCAAAGGCTGCCTTACTGCTCACAAGGCATGGATGGCCAGGCCCCACTAGCAGAGCAGAAAAATGCAGAGATCAAGAAATTCCCAGAGGTGGCAAGAAAGACGAGACAAACACCAGCAAACCAGTTTACAGGGACACTGCCCATCAATAGCCACCTCTTATCTACCAGCTTTGGGCCTGGCCCCCAGGAACCAAAGCAAGAAAGCAAATTAAGTCAGCATTCCTTATTAGCAGCCTAAATGACTGCTTATTAGAGAAATCAGGCAGTCTCTCCCAGCAAAGGCTCTTGGCAACAGGGCCCAAGACAGGTAGTGCCTGCTAGCTGATGGCTTGCTCACTGACAATTTGGTCAGAGCAATATGTACACCCTTAGTGTCCAGAAAGAGAACTGAAAGTTACATGCAGCATCTTTAGCTCTTCAGGGGCCAGGATTCATTCATTCTCTCTCTCTCTGTTTTTGTTTCGAGACAGAGTTTGTTTGTAGCTTTGGTGCCTGTCCTGGAACTAGCTCTTGTAGAGCAGGCTGGTCTCGAACTCACAGAGATCCACCTGTCTCTGCTTTCCAAGTGCTGGGATTAAAGGTGTGTACCACCACCGCCCGGCTCTCTCTTTTGTTTTTTAAGATGGGGTCTCATGTGGCACAGGTTGGCCTTCAACTCGCTACATAGTTGAGTCTAACCTTGGCTTTTTCTTACTCACTTCCCTTTAGCTCTTGCTGTGCTCTCAGAGGGCCACCATAGAATGAGCCCAGTCCCCCCCTCTCCTGACTGTCACTGCAAGACCCGGGAAGCACCAAGGAGAGGAGATGATGTTATTAGGAGCTCTGTAGACACACAGCTCCATCACTGACTTCATTTTCCTTACCTAGGAAGGACAGGAGACAGGAATCTCTTGATTCCTGATCCTCTTGCCTCTATTTTCTTAGGTGCTAGGATTACAGGCAGCTACCGTGACTGCCTCAGAGTGGAATTGTTGGGACCTTAAACTAGTAACAGCTGAAACTGACTTTAAATTAATGAACTGCCATGGCTCCCATTCCCTGAGCCCTTTATTCTATAATGATTCTGTAAAAAGTTTTTCCTGCATCATCTCAGACGATCCTCACAGCACCACAGCCAGCCCTCTGGGTAGATTCCTGTCTCCTTTCCTTCCTAGGTAAGGAAAATGAAGTCAGTGATGGAGCTGTGTGTCTACAGAGCTCCTAATAACACCACCTCCTCTCCTTGGTGCTTCCTGTGTTTTGCTTGCAGCGACAGTCGGGGGGGGGGGGGGGGGGGGGCGCCTGTTTCCTGTGCCCGCCGCG